GAAAAAGCGAAAGGAACAATCGATTCTACCACCCGATGCAGGGACAACAATCGATCAAAAGCGTGAAGACAACCTGTAAAGGTGGCTTCGAATAAGGTCAGCAGAAAATAGCGACCCCGCCGCCAGGGTTTGAGCAGATGAAAACGACTAATGCAGTTACCCTAGAATAGAAACACATAAGTGAGACGTATTAGTATGGGCACGACTGACGACACGAATGCCCTACCCGACCTCAGCGTCGAGGCAGAAAAAAAAATTTCGGAACGCTTCACGAACTTGCGCGTCATCCTTGTGCAGGGGCCATGCTGTTCTTGTTCTTATTGTTCCAGTTTCAGTATATGCTGAGGAATGAACGGAATGAGAGGAGAAAGCGCTTCCAAAACCCTGAATTGATTATCAGTATTCGCATGCCTCACTATATTCGCTATACCGTGTTACCGTTGCCATCTGTACATTGTGGGGAAGCTGCTGCACTGGCTCGTGTAGAGACCCGCGTCCGGTACACGGTGCTACATCCCCAAGGATGCGAAGGATAGGAGTCCTTCGTCTGTTATCAAGCGTACGTGATGTCGTTAGAGCTCGTAGCCCGAAAGGCTCTGGAACGTGCGTTGAGTGCGCGGTAAGCCGATGCTGTCCCTACGACTAGCGCTGTTGGTGACATTTGGAGCATTTGTCCAACTTCCGAGAACTGCTTGATAACAGAAGGCGTCAATTTTGGGAACGGCAGATTTTTTTTGTATTGCCTTGTTTGCAGTTAATAGCATTTATAATAGAAAATAATTTCTGTAAGTTGATTCAAGCTATATATTGGTGTAACAAAAGTTGCATAGTTCTGTATGAGGAGCAACACACTTTCTAGGCTGAGCTTGCTCTTAACCCGCGGAAAAAGACAGCCATTTCGGAACGAGCTGGAGTTCAAGCCGAGATTATCGGGATGAATTCGATCGATCGTAGAATCATCGTGGGTCTCAACGACGAGAATACAGCGTATGCTTCCAAATTCACTACCTATTATTTTTGCAATATTTGCATTATCTATCTCCAAGGCCGGAAAACATGTAGCAAAACGGAAACGTTGGCACTTTCGTCAGCGAGAAATCTAACTTTTTCGAAGTCGCTGCTAACCAGTCTGAATTACGGTGGAAAAAGGTATACACAGTAGCGCTCGAGTCTTCAGCCAAATAGTTTTTCCGCCGTAACTTTTTTCTGCTGAATTGAATCGGTTCCATTTTCGACATGTTCAGTAGGCAAGCCTTCTTTTCTACATCATTAGTACTGTTAGTATTGGACGGGACAAAAAGTTAAGATAGAGAAAGTTATTTTATCAGAGTGTCGAGTAAGACTCAATTCCCATTTGATTTCAAATTATTCGAAAAGTCGAAACAAGGATAAAAACAAAACAATAGGACGCACGATAAAAACATCAAGCATACTTGGTAATTTGCTGATAGCTTTTGATTTGCTGAAACCCAAGCAGGGGCTAACAAGGGAGGCCGTTAAGTTTGGGACGCCTTTTCAGAATGGTTGCTGTAGGGGCTCTTACGTGGACTGCAATACGTGTTTCATTTTCGCTGAGCGGCCCCCTGAAGGCCAAACAAAGGTTCGAAAAAAATTGGCCAAAAAAATTGATGTACTGTTTAGTGATAGTGCTGGAGAAAGGGCCCCAGTTTAAGGGGTCGTCGGCAACCTGCCTCTGGCAGTGCACCTGTAGTCAAGTGGATAGCGTGTCGGACTTGGGTATGTGCGGTAGGTGTGGTTCGGATCCGCTCCAGGGCAAACTTTTGCATTTTTGATTACCCCTTCCAAAAGGGCTCCAAACTGCTCCACCGTCAAAACGAACGCACCATTCACGATAAGGACCTTCACGAGCGCCCGCAAATGGCTTTTCTATCAAAAGCTGGCTGAATAAGTTCGCAGCGCCATGCTGGCAGCAAATGGCAGACGCCAAAAACGAATGCCATATTCGTGATCAGGACTTCGATTTACGCCCATGTGGCAGATTTCAAGAAAAACCGAGATTTTGACCTAACTTCGGAAAAAGGGGGTGACCATAGGCTACAGGTCGTCATGCACGGTGGCAGGTGATTCGATACGAGCGCGGTGCGGAAATGTGGCGCAATGCTCTTATGATTCACGGAATCCAAAGTTCGACTTCAGAGAGAACATCCCACACCACGTCGTAGCCCCTGAAATCGCTCTAGCTATCGCGATGAAGCCTTGTAAGTGGAAGAGCCGCCACGAGACTGGACCCAACATATCGCGCCTCGTTAAAGAGAAGAATTTGCCAACTTCAACTTCATGCGTATCCTGTCGTACGTCATTCGCTTGAAAGTCTGCCATTGTCCATTCAGTAGTGGGACATCTCATAGTTCGGAAAGAATAACAAGAAAATCGTTCAAAGCGCACCGGCTTGGGCTAACTGATCAATGGCCAATTTTTCGGATCTGGGCCAAAATCTCAATTTTTCTTAGAACTTTCAATATAAGGGATATCGAGTGCCCTAATTACGATTATGACATCAATTTTTTCCGGCTCCAGTTTACGCCACTTCGACGCCATTTGGCGAGACAACTTTTTTTCGGACAGATTCCGGTAAAAATCTGAAAGAAAAAGTTGCTGATGGTCTCTATGATGAACATAATATCTATTGTTGGCGTTGATGCTATTCAGAGCACAGTTGGAAGCTCCAACCTAAATGCAAAAATTTCGTCATCACGAGGGATTGAACCTCGGACCATTTTTCCATAATTTTCGGGGATCGCGGGGCGTTCAGCGAAAAGGACCACGGTTTTGTAGCCTACGCCCAAGCTTTTATAATATGGAGAAAACCATTTTGACAAAGCTTCCCACACCCTGAACGCCCTCCCTTGTAAGTGTGGAACCAGTCAATGAATGCGCTATCTAGTGGAGCGACCACCTCAATTTCCTTCAAGTTTGACGACTTTCTCGCTCATATAGCGAGGCGGAGGCTCGCTGATGGTAATCCGTAAAAGGGGTGGCACTGCAGAATAGAATTCGTAAGGTGGTGAAGACTGACGTAGTGAATTTGGTTCTAGAAAGCGTAGCATATGGCGCATGACACCTGCAGTGATTTGATTTCGCCTTTTAGCAATATAGCCATCTGAAGCATCGTACCTCAATTGTGAAATACCGCTCTTGACAGCATGGCACGCCTGAAACGGAAGGAAATCTTCAGTAGCATGTCGCAAGCGTCATCGAGACACTATAGAAAAGACATAATTGAAAAGGTTAGCGAAAGTTTCAGTAAAAAAGGAGCTAGGAATATGAGGGAGAACTCGTAAATTTGAGGAAAAATTGAGTGGTCGTCCCAACAGACAGCGCATTCACTGACTGGTTTCACACTTAGACCCTGCTGGAGTTTCAGCAAATCTTGAAGACTATCAAGAAAGCATTAAGTACGCTCAGTGTTTCAATCGTGCGGTCTGTTTTCTTGTTGATTTGGGCTTTTGCAATAATTTGAAATCTAATGGGAATTTCGGTCATACTCCTGCACTTCTATTAGAATAACTTTCTCTTTCAACTTTTTGTTCCACCTAATACTAATGTAGTACTAATACACTGAAATGCAAAGCTCAGGGACGAAATATAATAGTTTAGGGGACGTAAGTTTTCAGCAATCCGATGGAATTGGATGAAACTTCGCGGGCATGATGCTTAAGGTCCTCTATTCATGCTCTGTACTAGACCTCATGCATCGCACGGTTCGCTTGAATCTGAAGCCAAGGGACCGACCTCGTAGTACGCGAGGGTTGGCGGAGCAGGAGAAGAGGAGTGTACTGACCACGGCGAAGGCTATGTGGAATACAGTAGTGTTCTAGGATACAGCGTTCTTGGAGGCAACACTAGCATTACTTCACGAAAGGAAGAATTTCTGGTAAACTGGAAGGGGGAAGATGTGTCCAGGAGGTTAGTAATGCTCAGCATTGCTTTGCGCATAGGAAGCAATATATGTAGACTACAGCCACTGCTCCCCATGGAGCAAGAGATGGTGAATCGCAAACACGCGCAACAGTAGACGATTGCTACGCTCTGCAACAGGGACGAATGAACCCACGTCACTCGCAGGCTGCACTTGCAACCACATTTATCAGGCTTCTGTTTATTCTTCTGCCTCGAGGTTGTTAGGTTCGAAAATTCCACCTAACAACCTCGAGGCAGAAGAATAAACAGAAACAATATCGAAAATGCTGAGGCTCCAAGACGAGAGAACATGGAATCTATTACGAAACATTTACCAGGATTGTGAGGCATCTAATCGAGGCTGAAGAGTGGCACAGTAATCGCATAGAGGTGGCCTCCCTGCCCGACCAACAGCACCTGGTGTTTCTTTGGAAACAGCGTCGACAAGATTTGCTAGGTACCAAGACATTGGAAATGGACCACCATTTCGGAGGAACGCGTGCTCTCCTCTGATTAGAGCGAATTGTGTGTGGGATATGCATCCTGAACCATGGTGAGACATAAAGTTGCGGTTGCGTACCGACCTCTCAACTAAAAATCGCTGAATGCTTTCTGTCACTATTATTGCAACGCTGTACTTCTCTCTTATTTGTATTTTTTCAGCAGTAATTGACCACATTTTCATTAGTATAAAGGACAATGGGCGAACGCATCGAGCAGGCCAGGTGGAAACCTCTTGGAACGCTAGGATCTTCGGCCATTGGTGGAGCCTGTCCGCCCCTGAGTCGCATCCTATGAAGCATATGAGGCGTGCGTTCAAAGCTATGTAGCGCACCCTCGTGTGCCAATCCAGCAGTTGTCAATAGCGGTATTCAAGGAATGGAACGCTTCCCTACGAAAACTCTTGGACAACCTTTTGGCGAGTATGGGAGCACGTAGCGAAGCATGCTTCGCGGTCCTTAGTGCTCATACACACCACCAAAGAACCAGCTCCTCTTCTCTGAATGTTTACCATGTCTTGAGGTAGCCTCGCCCATCGACCGCTTCAGACACTGTTCTGAAAAAGAAATGTCTTTTCTAATGGTTCCATTGCTCGTATCTTTCAGTAACTCACTGAACTATAAGGTAGTACTCCCTTCCATATATGTGCCATTCCTTTCTATTCTCGTCTTTATTATTCCCTTTTATATGTGTATGTGCCAAATTTCATCGACCTAGGTTAGCTAGCAGTAAGATATTATGCAAAAGTTACTACCGTCCTCTAATACACATCAGTGTAGTATAGCTAAAGAGGCTGGTCTTCTAAACATATCGAAAATTGAACTGATTCGATTAAGCAGATAAAAACGGCGGAGAAACCATTTGACCGAAGACTTTTGAACGCTGCTGTATGTGTAGGGTGTCCCATTTATATTGCACAACCTTAGTCTCAA